CAACACAGGTCATAATAGCTGTAATAGAATATCGGTCAATATCGAAATCGTGGTGCCCCGGTTTGAGTCAAGATTTGTTTGATGGATTTGGTGACTTATTTTCCTTTTTTTTGCAAGTTCCCTTTCCCGTTTTATTTAGAGCCCTTTTTTAGTACTTTTTTTTACACATAAATAAAATTAATTGCTCTCATGATTTTTTACTTAAATAACCAGTTCAGTTTTTTTATTATGTCGGTAAGATCGAAAAATATTATTCATATTTCATCAGTATGTAATTTGCATCTAAATTTATTTTCCAAAAAACACGATTTCCAAAAAAAAACATCCAGGTACTTTGCATACAATATAGTTGACAGAGTCTTTAGTTAAATATCTATATAATGTAGCAGGTACAGGTGTTTAGCCTGCTCTCAGACGTGCAAATATTTAAAACAAAAACTATCTATAAGTGGAGCACATAAATAATTAAACTAATTTTTACATTCTAATAATATTCTTTTAGGCTATAGAAACAATTTTCAAATAACCATTTCGTAATTTTTGTTTTTTGAAAGAGGTTCCTTCTTTTTCTTTTAAAGTTTATATTATAATATACTCATGTTATATAAATAAAAAGTATAGTTGAATATTTTATGTGTTTACCTATCGGCATAGCAATATTTCATTAAATTCTTTTTTGTATCAAGTCCGATATAAGTATAAAAGAAATTTAAATGCACTATGAGATTTATATTCATAATTGATGAAATAGTTCGTGATACCGTTGATGGAGCCTTTTTTACTTTGAGATTTTTAAAACAGTTTGTCATATATTAAGATAGCTCACACATTTTCAGAAATAACTATTTAAATTTTTGTGACAATCCCGGTTGCATAGCTCACACGAGTAAATTAAAAGGCTCTTGTGAAAAAGTACTATGAATATCAAAGAAAGCAAATTATAAACACCGGTTTGTGATGTAAATTTCATAGTTGGTATCTCAGATGAAGTTGGTACGTAAGTAACTCAAATTAGATCCGCGCCGAGTCCACTAATATTTTAACTGCAATTTGAAGTTTCGATTTATCACGTTCTCGGTGGTGAAGAAAAACATCGCAGGAAACCTGCATATCTGAGATTTTAAAAAATATTTCGGAAATTATTTTAGGTATAGGTATGTGAAGTCGGTCGTTCCGCATTGGAGTCAACTTAATCTATTCCTTTTTGACCTAAAACTCGCTGTGGCCTGTGCCCAGGATGTATTTAGGCTGCTACTTTTTTACTTTTAATGGAGCTTTTCACTGCTGATCATAGGCTTCCCCCATTGCCTGTGTCCAATAGACCGGGTATTTGCAGTAGTATTCACGCTCGGCAAACGGTTTGGCAACCACAGATCTTTATTACTTTGCGCTGTTATCAAGAAGATGCTGACCATCTCCTGTTTCAATTCCGTCTGTCGCCTCTTAAGACACTCACGGGACGAAATGGGGAAGTGGTTTGTTTTCCGCCGCCTCTACATGGCTAATATATTATTTATACTCCCGTTCATCAACTGGATTTCCTCCACAAACTGCCATAAAGTTGGATATTTGCCACAGTTGCCACGCTTGGCATGCGAGCTGTCAACTGCAATTTTTATTGTTATAAACTACGATCAGTAAGACGCTGCTGCCCATCTTATGTAGATTTCTACTGCTGTTCATGAATTTAGTTCTTCTCACACGTTCTCCGTGAATAGAACTACATTTATGAAATTTTGAAATCAACTCGAACGTAAAAAAATACGGTTGTGTGGTGGTAATCAATAATCAATGGGACCAATATTAATAAAGATCGTGAAATAAAACCTTATTTTATCAAAACTGTATAAATTTTAATAATGATTATTATGTAAATATCGCATTTCCAATTCCAGGAAAATTTTCCCTTCATAATGACACATCGGAAGACGTGCCCGATTTTAAAAAAAAGGTGTAGCTTGATGTATGATATTTATGTGATTCTGATAAACTAAGTTATGTGTTTCTGTAGCCTATATTGCCAATATAGACACAGATACCGACGTCTCTCTACAAGTGATCCAGTTTTGCTAATTTTAGTACGAAATAGTATTATCGATGTTTCTAAATTCAAGCCCACGCGAACGAAGCCGCGGGTAAAAAGCTAGTATTTAATATAATATTGAAAACGTCGTAAGCTTGCAAGACGTTGCGAGGATATTGCATTAAATTTTGTCATGCTCTCAGCCTTATAATAAACCCGTGTGGGAAGAGGTCTGTCACACATAAACGGACAGAAGAATTTCCTCCTATAAAAAAAGATAACGAAATAGGTTGATATGATCTACATCCTCCAAACTGTAATATGATTTAAATTCTACTGCGAGGCTTAAAGATACATTACAGTAAACTCATTATGCGTAGGTCAGACTAGAATTAAAAAAAATAAAAGCTCAGAGAATGCTGAATTAACTTTGAATTAGGAAAGACAAACACCTCATATACTTATTAACATAGTAGCTACGAGGCACTCAAAAAGTCAGTTATCTACAAAAATAAATAAAATTAAGTGTCTGATTGTAATGTCAAAATAACAGCTTATCACTAAATGCATATGGCCGCACATACGGTGCTTATAACAAAAAAACACTTAAAAGTTTTGTCTGTCTGTCTGTCTGTTTGTTCTGGCTAATCTCCGAAGGCGCAGATATCTTATGCTATGTGGTAACTATGGCTACTTTTACTTTAGAAAAAGAATCATGGTTCTGCTAAAAAGAAGCACATGAAATCCAATCGTAATAAATTTCACGCGGGCGCAGTCGCAGGGATCAGCTAGTTTTTGATAAAATAAATGCAAAGACAGTTTCTACTGTCAGTGTGAATGTAGCTCTCCTCCCAAACGGTTTTGATGAAATGTTCGTGCGTGCGTTCGTGCATGCGTGCGTGCGTGCATGCGTGCGTGCATGCGTGCGTGCGTTCGTGCGTGAATCCATGCATGCGTGCGTTCGTGCATGTGAGCGTGCATGTGGGCGTGCGTGCGTGCGTGCGTGCGTGCGTGTGTGCGTGCGTGTGTGTGTGTGTGTGTGTGTGTGTGTGTGTGTGTGTGTGTGTGTGTGTGCGTGCATGAAGCGCTGCAGTCGAGAACAAAAAATCACCCGTGCGAAGCCAGGGCAGATCGCTAGTTTGTCTGTTTCGAACACGGAACAAAGACTGTTTAAGCGTCCGGTGCGTTGTCACCCCTGAGAGCTAAGATTGAATGCCTCACGGCCTTTTTATATTGGGGTCTGTATACCGATTCATATTTATATTTTGTCAGTGGTAGAGCCACGCTGCAGCTATATTATTGTTGTATCACGAATGCGTCGGCTCGACCGGGGAAGGACCACACTCTCACAGAATACCAGCGTAAAATAACAGCAACAAATTATATCTCGCAATACACCAATATACCAGTACCTTTGCCGATTCATACATACGGAATTCCGTTCCGAGATTCAGATGCGGAATTCCGAAATGGAACGAACGGGTCGGCCATACACACATATGGAATCCCGTTTTAACAAAATTTCGAACGGAAAACTACCGTAGGTGTGTGATGGGTCATTGATTTTGGTCTTTCTGCGTTAGGAATTTCAAATCAGACGGGAGTGGTTTTGTGTATTGCGAGATATAATTTGTTTTCAAAGAAGAAAAAGGGCCTCGGGATAAAATTGCGAGTGGGAGTGAGTCTATAGAAAGGTTCTCGAGTTGCAACCTCATATCGATAAGCGAAGTATAGGACGAATAGAAGAATAAGGCCTACTAATTGGAGTGTCGACCACGTAAGAAATGCAGGAAGTCGGTGGATGCAGGTGCTTCACGTATATTTATATGTATGTGACCGGCCCTACTGCGTATTTCGATTATTCCAGCGTCTAATCATTCGTTAGTGTAGTAACATTCATTTAACTTCAGTTACCTTCGTTTCCAGCAGATCAAAGGTTATTCAAATTGTACGTGTAGGGTAATTGGGATAGCTAGAATATCGGTAATAACAAAGGAGTTCGAAGCTAGCATTTTGGATCAGGCTTATAGATCCTAGTATTTCTTCTTCTAGCATTTCAATACCACAAAGCTAAATTCGTTTGCTACCCCGTACAGAATTGGGTTGGCCGGTAGATATTCGTATGACATTCTTGAATGTACTACGAATAATTTATAAAATACATGAATATTTGAACACATGAACATTGTTTTATGTCAATTTAGATAAATGAAATTCTTAGTTGCAATTTAAAGTGCTGATTTACCACGTGCTCGATGGTGAACAGAAACATCATGAAGAAACCTGCATGTCTGAGAAACAAGAAAAAAAATAATTTGAACACATGTGAAGTACGCCAACAGATGTATTAAGAAAAAGAAAATAACGCACATTATAAGCATCTATGAGAACGTATTGTTAATTAAATTGTATTAACGTTAGTGTTTTAACCCTCTGTAACGTATGGTAGACTACAGGCAACATACCGTTTCACCTTTCCTAAATTCTCCAAGTAAAATTAATTCGTTTTTTCAAGCAATGTAGAGTATTGTCTACACTCTCTTCTTTCAATTTAGTACAAGCATGTCAAACTAGATGTCGCTACTTGCCTCAAACAACGAAATATCGTTAGTGAAGTGAAAAGTTTCAAATGCTCAGAGTATGTTAAAAGACAAAAAATATAAGAAAATAGTTATTTTGTTTTTTGGTGTTTCTTTTCTTGATAATCTGTAAGGTAAGTGTTTATAGTTTACCATATTATTATATTTTTGCTGATAATTTACAGTTTTTATGTATTAGGTGACTATTAGTGTTTGTGTCTTGTAGGCTACATTGTGCGGAAAGGGGAACTATCTTGTACGAACACTGTGGATATTTACACTCGTTATTATTTTGTTTTAGCATGGCTCACCAAATTCACCTAAATTAAAACGAAATCGCCTGCGCACTTCAATGTGATTTAAGTGAAGATGGACTCGACTTAGATGACGATAGTTTGATGGATCCTGACTTTGAACCAGATTTTGAAGAGTCGATTGACGAATCTTTGGAAGCTGAATTCGACATAGATGCACTAGTAGACACCTTGAATGATGACGACCGTAACTCCAACTTTGAGGTAGAAGTAGGGCCGGCCTTATCTAGTTCAGACATTCCAGGTACTTCAGATCCCCCCTGTAAAACGTCGAAAGCCTGAAAAGCTAACATTACAGTGGAAAAAGAAGAATTTAGAGCTGAATGCACAGCAGCTGGCTTTTACTGGCAATGAGTCATTGAGTTCTGATATCTTGGACCTTGATACTCCAATACAGTTCTTTCTTTTTTTATTTCCACCAGAACTCATAAAGAGAATTTCGGAAGAGACAAACCTCTACGTGGTACAAAAAGACCCAAACAGCACGTTTCGTGTATCGGAGACAGAAATGCGTCAATTTATAGGGGTAGTATATATGATGTCACTGATTCAGCTACCCAGAGTGACCAACCACTGGAGTTCCGTCTTGGGTACACCTGTAATTCAACAGACCATGCCTTCTAATAAATTTGAAAAGATTAGACAATATCTGCATTTTAATGATAACACTAAATGTCTACATAGGACCCACCCTGACTCCGATAGGATCTTCAAAATTCGCCCAGTCGTTGATGCCTTGAACGAATCTTATGGTAAAGTTCCATTAGAAAAACAACTTTGTGTAGATGAGCAAATTTGCTCTACAAAAGCGCGTAACATGCTGAAAAGGTATAATCCCAAGAAACCGCATAAGTGGGGTTATAAATTATATGTTTTGAGTGGTGTTTCCGGTTTTGCTTATACAATAGAGATTGAATCTGGCAAAGAGAATGTTGTCAGACCCGACGAGCCAGATTTAGGAGCTTCTTCCAATGTAGTAGTGAGATTATCGCGTATGATTCCGCGACACCAAAATTACAGGCTCTATTTCGATAACTACTTCACATCCTTGCATCTTTTGGAATATTTAGCAAAAGAAGGTATTCTTGGGCTAGGTACTATTAGAAGGAATAGAATACCTGACTGCAAGCTGTCGTCAGAAAAAGAGATTATGAAGAAAGATCGAGGATATTCTGAAGAGTACATAGCTGATGTCAACGGCGTCGACGTGTCAACGGTTGTATGGAAGGACAATAAGCTTATTACATTGGCTTCCACATTTGCTGGTCTAAATCCTATAAGCGAAGTCCGGAGATACGACAAAAAGAACTCAAGATACATAAACATCCCGCGACCTAATGTTGTGAGCGAGTATAACCGTCATATGGGCGGTGTGGACCTTGTAGATAGCATTATGGGCATCTACAAGATAAAACTGAGAAGCAAACGTTGGCAGATGCGTCTCTTCTATCACTTCTTAGACCTAACAATGGCTAATGCATGGCTGTTCTATAAAAGAGTCTGCAAGTATAAAAACATTCCCAACAAGACCATCATGGCATCTGCAGATTTTCGCCTGGAAATTGCCGAAACATTGTGCAAGATGGGGGTGAAAACGGGTTTAACAATACGCCGATCTATTGAAGGTCAAATCCTAGCAAAGAAACACAAAGGACCTGCCCAACATGTACCTCCACAAGCAGTCCGCCAAGATCAAGTCGGTCACTGGCCTCAATGGGCAGAAAAAAAAATCCGTTGTAAGTTCCCAAAGTGTGCTGGATTTACTCATACGGTGTGTGATAAATGCGGCGTAGCTTTATGTTATACCAAAAACAAAAATTGTTTCAGGAATTTCCATCTGTTGTAACTGATTTACATTCTTCTCAATTAAAGTGATATTAACTAATTTTTACTGTTGTAACTCATTGTTGCCTAGGAGCTACACTCCCTTTTTTTGTAGTATTATGCTTGATTTATAAAAAATTACATAATTTTAAAAAATACGTATCTTATTAATTTCATAATCCTATCCGATTCCATGAAAAATATGTAATTTAAAGATTTTGAGTTATAGAGGGTTAATGCGCTATTCTATTAAAAATTTTCAGGTAATTCATATAAGAAAACGATCCGATTGAATGAGCTTGATCGAAATACACTTTTATATCCATGTACTGTCTAAAAACAGTAATTGTTTGATAAAGTACTTTTCATGTCAAATTGCGATGTGCAAGATTGGGGCTTCAGTAATTAGTTGTTTGTTCTATATTATGAATTAATATGATATTGAATCACTATTGTGTATTTTCTTGTGATTTCTAAAATTTTAAAAATATTACTCGAAACCAAGTAGTGTCGATACTTATATTTATTATGACTGCCCCGGCAATAAGTCTTGCAAGTGTGTCTCATAGCTAAGGTCTTCCGACTCCGACTTCTATTCTTCTATTCCCACCCATACCGATGAAATTAATATTTTTTATTTTAAGGAATCAAAAGATTCACACGGTATAAAATCAGGTGTGGAAAACAAACCATAACAAAACAAACAAATATTTACCAATGTGCTGTCCAGAAAGTACCTTCCTTATGAGCGGTGAGTACGCTGGCTCGGTTGGATTTTGACTCGCTTGTTGCGCGCAGCAAGCCCTTCTGCAGCATTTGTTAGTATGTCATTGGGTATTGAAGTTACTTTGTTACGGATCAATGTTCTATCAAGCTATATTTACTTTAACGGATTAGAAGTTTCTTTTTTTGTAAACGCGATTCTGCTTGTTATTTGTATTAAGTTATGGATCAATTTTTGATGCCGAAAAAATACTTGAACGTACCTCGAGCCCTGGTTTTTGGCGCTGGTATCTGAAGGTGGACGGACTTGGAAACCCTGGTACTCGTTTTTGCAAACGACCCACGTCTACTTGAAAGTAATTCGAGCCCCGATTTTTGTCGCTGGTACTCACAGTGCACCATCTTCTTCTATCTTAAGGAAATAAATTATCGGTTTAGTTTGGTAATTAGGTAATTAACCACCTATATTATTAATTTAGGCTAAGTGGCGCAGCGGCTTAGCAATTGAATTACAACGCTAAAAACCGCGGGTTCGAATCCCGCAAGTATTTGTATGGTCTATAAATAATTGTTCCGGGTCTGGATGTTTGTCCTTGTGCAATTTATATTTCTAAACTGTCCTCATGATACAGGTAAAATCCGGGTGTGGTGGTTATGTTTTTGAAAAATAAGAAGAGAATATTTACTTTTTTGTCCCACAAAAAGGGTGCGGATCAGAATTTCAAAGCCTTCCCGTAAAAAGTTTCACTTCCAATCTCTGCGGTTGCTAACTCGCTTGCCAAACGTGGCAACTGTGGCAGGTATCTCCGCTATGATGCAATCTATGGGTGCATGCATTGTGCATTGTGCATTTTAATAGTCTGCACCGGTAACGGTATAATTTATTACTGCATCACAATCAATTTACGGAAATTATATATTAACATAAATGTCTAAATATTACATCTAAGATAAAATTAGAACCTCTGGCTCCTAAACTAGAATAATCCAAGTTCTAAGTTATTCGTAAAATAAATATTGCACTGGTTACACAGTCTGCGATTATGTTTCAATTGTCGTTTGTGCGTTCAGTACGCAACCGTTAATATTACTGTTATCATTATTTCTTAATATTACTGTTATCATTACTGTTGTTATTATTATTTGAAAACGGTTTTCAGTAACGATATGAAAACTAAATATCGGTTATGTAAGGGACGACACACACGGTCAGTTCAACTGATCATTCCAACTGATCAGTTCAAACTAGGGCTGTTAATATTTTTTTTAAATATCGATAATTATAAATATATCAATATCGGAGTTTTATATAATATAAGTTTATTTATCGATGGTAAGTGGATGCTGTGGCCCATAGACATCCACATTTATCCTCGCTTAAGAATTAAAACGCAGATACGTTGTCACGCCTGAGGACCAAGAGGGGATGCCTCATTTCCAGTAAAAAGGGTCTCCATTTCTACTTTCACCATACAAAACACAGCAGTATTAAGCTGGTATTTTACGCTGGTATTCTGTGAGAGCGTGGTCCTTCCCCGGTCGAGCGTCAGCTATATATATATATATATATATATATATATATATATACGCTGCAACGTGGCTCTACTATGTATAAAATATACACTATACACTAAATTTTTTATATAGCAAAATTGAAAACATTAATTTAAGCAAACAACATATTAAAACTCAAACATTTGCCTAATGAAGATATAATTACTTTATTATTTTCAGTCATACATATTTTATACACAGGGCGTTAGTGTAAACATCGTTATACTTGAAACCAGTGGTTTGGTTTCACTTATAGCACGTAAATTCAATGAAAAATAACATTTTTTTTAGTAAAATCTCAATTTTTCCTTAATTCCTCAAATTTGCCTGTCCTAAGCCAGGGTGAAAGTATGAAGGAAAAGTTACATTACAGGTTATGTGTACCTATTGTGTTTTTATTAGAATATAGTGTAGGTAGCTAGTGCGGGCGGTGATCTTTACAGTGATTACTCACCCGGGCGCATAGGGTATCCATGAATTTACGGACGGTTTCGGACAGAAACCTCTTAAATTTTATGAAAGAAAATGGGTTTTTTTTTAGAATTTGGATAAATATTTTCATATTAAAGCCAACTACCTATAGTTTTAGTGACAAAGGTGTTTAAACTTACACCTTGTATACATATTTTGTAATACACTTGTAATTCTGCCATACTAACTAATTACGTTGTGAAAAAATAAATCAACCATAAAGAATAGAATCATGAATGTGTGTAACGCGGTATCTAGTCTCTTATTTTGCTTCATTCTATTTTAAGTTGAATATTATGATAATCCAATCAATAGAGTTAGAAAACTCTGTATAAAAATCTGTACCCAGTGCTAATCTGTATCATACACCGAAAATCTGTATAAATACGGGGAAATCTGTATATATGGCAACACTGAATCGACGCTATACTGGTGATTCGTTCCAAAACATTGGACAGTATATGACGTCATACTTTTGCGCCATTCGGAAAATTGTTGGCGATTATTTTGTCATTATGTGCTCCAAAAATCATGGATCACCTAATGGATATACCATCAATTATTCTATAATTTTTTGTATTTGAATAAATAGACACAAATTCTGGCATGCTTCATTCGGCAAACACACAATTAAAAATTGTTTTATTATGGCCGGATATCCGATACAATATGGCGGCGGCACGCTAGTACAATAAAGTGTCAAATGATACGTCATTTGCATTGGATAGTACACTGCGTTGTATTTCGGAACATACCCAATATTCATTTACAGTAAGTACTTTGATTTTTTAAACTAGATGGCGTTAGTGATAAATTACTTTACGATGTAATGTTTTATAGTTGATTGCATAACATACCTCTGCATACTTTTTTCATTGACACAGCTTAAGCGTAAGCGTAAATTTTTGTAAATGTGGGACTTACTTGAAAAAGTTCGTCCACATTTTCTATGACACATACCTACTTGAAAAATGTATTATTATTCTCTTAGAAGTACTTAATCTATTAAGATGGATTTTAGGGTGCAGTTATTTTTATTGACATAATGACCAGTGATACTTTCGTAGCGACTTTTCGATTAATTGTTTGCAAAGTATTTATAATTCAGAATAACATAAAGAGGAAAACCAGACTGAATTAATTGTCTAAAACCTTTGTCTTCTACAACACGGAATGGTTGAAAGTCCATAATAAATAAATCCATTATCAGCTTATCTACATTTTTTGATTTAAATTTATCACCATTTTTTTTATATATGTATGAAGCTATAGTTCTCGCACCTGGTTGTACCTAATGTAATCGCACCAAGTTAGTGGACGGCCGTTGTTCACCTTCAGGTTGTTGAGCTGTTCCAGCAGATTATGTTATCACTGGAGTTGGAACGTCGTTTCTTCTAACTAAACTTACGAATGAATGTTTACGTTCAAGGTGCTTTGTAAGGTTTGATACAGAACTTTTAAAACTCAGTTGTATTTTACAAATATTACACTCGGCCGTTTGTTACCCTTTGTCCGTAAAATGATCCCAAGCCACACTATTTCCACTGGAAGCCATTTTTAAAACAATAAACGGGTGAGTGTTTCTAGTTACTTTGTGAATAAAAATTTTACGTACAAAACCAATACTTACATGAAATAATTAAAATATGTCTCCTTTGTAGACCCCTAAGAACAATATATTTCTATTTTAAAGGTTACTTATTAGAATTATACTACTAAAATTCTAAAAGAAATATAATTATTCTCGTTACTGAATTAAGAGTATTACGATTATACGAGAAATAAATTAAGAAAATTTACTTCAAATGTCTTTCCGCTATTAAACTACGTCCTTCTTTACTTGATGTAGTACTTCAATGTACGTGTAGATGGCGCGTTTACAGAATTATTTCATATTTTGTAAAATTTGTTTTAAATGGTTTTTCGTTACTAAATTAAGAGTATTATGATTAAACGAGAAATAAATTAAGAAAATTTACTTCAAATGCCATTCCGCCATTAAACTACTTTCTTCACTTGATACGTACGTGTAGATGGCGCGTTTACAGAATTCATTTTGTAACCAATTTTACAATTTTCTTAAGTAGTATGACATCTATACGTAGAAATAAATTAAGAAAATTTACTTCAAATGCTCCCTTCCGCCATTAAACTACTTTCTTCAGAGTCCGTGTAGATGGCGCGTTTACAGAATTCCACCAACCAACAATTTTCTTATAGATGACATCTATGTAGATAAAATTGGAAATTAAATCATAATGTTATTATTTTAAT